TATTTGGACACCTTGGATGATCCTAATGCCGACAGTACTCCAACTTTCAAGCTTTATAACTCAAGATTTATTTCATAAAAAAATATTTTATTTATGTGTTTTGGAAAGTTCTCGAGGCATGCTATAGAACATGTAATAAAAAATTGGGGGTTCCATTTAAAAAATTCAAAGTGACCTTGTCCTGACCTTGACGACGCCACTCAGGGTCAAACCAATGTTATCATCTTATGTCCCCCTCGAAGTCCGAAACTTTTGTCTGAAAAATTTTTCTCTCCCGGGCTTGATTTTTGAGATATTCGACTGGATGGATTAAAATAGTCCACCCTGTATATATATATATATTCTAATTTTAACATAAAATTAATATAACGATTTATTAAAAAGTTTCAGGGCATTTGTGAATTTATTATGTTCATAATTTTGCATTGAAAAGGAACAAGAGTTACAAAAACTGTGCGCATATATGGATACTAATAGACATTACAAAAATCAATTTGAGGATTATTCCATTTCTGTCAGCCATAATATAATCAGGAATGATACAGTATAAAAAAGATTTTCATATACTATTTTATAATATAATAAATATCTAATATTTATTTAATAAATATCTAAAATCACTAATGATTAAATGTTTATAATATGTTTACAAATATTTGATAATATTTTACAGATAAAGATCTATTATTTTTCAGGTTCATGATGTATTTAAATCATTATTAACATTAAAAATTAAGAAATTTGTAGAAATATTAAAAAAAAATGAAAAAAAATGGCTCAGTGAGAATGACTATTCTATATACACAGGACAAGCAGGAATTGCATATGCATTATACTATTATGGGAAATATTATAATGATTCTGTATATACCAATGTAATTACGAAACTTTAACATGCTATCAATTTAAAATTTGATGTCATATTAATATGATAATTCGTCTACAGATGGCAACAGAAATGTTACAAAGATGTATTACAGAATTCAAAAGCAAACATAAAATTACATTTCTGACTGGAACTGTAGGTCCATTAGCAATGGTAGCAGTTATATTACACTTTCAACAAAAGAAAGAAGAAGCAGAACAATTAATTCTCAGGTAATTCTAATTTTGTACTTAAATTAAACTTTAATACTTAAATTTAAAAAATTTTTGAAAATACAAAACTATTTTTAATTATTTAATATTTTTATAATTAAAACTTCGCAGATATTTTGTATATATTGTTTAAATTATTTGCAAATAAATTACATTTGTTACATAACTTTTTGGTAGGTATTCAGAGTCAATTCTTATATTTAAGCAGAGAGAAGCATGAGAGCGGCCATCCCGGCGTTTTTCGCAACATCGGTAAAAATTTTAACCTCCCCGTACACTAGCGCCAATTACTTCCACTTTAGAGATGGAACTACGTATACAGGGTAGACCATTTTAATCCATCCAGTCGAATATCTCGAAAATCAAGCCCGGGAGAGAAAAATTTTTCAGACAAAAGTTTTCGGACTTCGAGGGGGAGTGGGGACATAAAATGATAACATTGGTTTGACCCTGAGTGTCAAGGTCAGGACAAGGTCAAAAAAAATATTTTTTTATGAAATAAATCTTGAGTTATGAAGGTTGAAAGTTGGAGTACTGTCGGCATTAGCATCATCTAAGGTGTCCAAACACTAGCTAAAGATGGCCAAGATCATTGGCCTTCATCAATGTCATGATCCTGAA